AATGCTCATACATCGCTTCGGTAGATGCAGCGTAGGGATTCAACAAGGTATTGACAGCTTCGTTATGCGCCCAATAAGACACGGAGAGGTCGAGAACGCGAGCACGCGCTGCTTGAACGGGAGTTCACCGTCCTTGTCTGTAGGCGTGGGGATGACCTCGACGCCAATGGCGACTGCGCCGGCTGATGTGGAGGCGGTCGGGAGAACGGGAGCGAATCCTACGGGATTCGCTTGTGTCTCCACGGCAAGCTTCGCGGGCTTGCGAGCAAAGTTGAGACTACATCATACTCGACGGAAATAGCGGTCTAGCGAAGACCTGTTCAGAGCAGGCCGAGGATTCGGTGCCACAGGACGCTGATATCAAATCAAGGGAGAAAATGAGGAACCAAGGCAGCGTCATTGACGGGCGAGCGATAAACGCGAAGATGCCGACGAACGCAAGGAGTTGAGTGCAAGCGTCCTAGATCGTCTGAAATGCAGTCATGGCAGCCGCAACAAAACGAGGCACCATAATCTGGAGCTATCAGCCAAGGCGCAGGGGCCAAAGCTACCTGAGATGCACTCACCTCCGACATCGCCCAGAATAACCTGCAGTGCTAGCGACAGCCCCACATCACCTGTGGTACCTTCGAGTTCGAGACATTTGGCGAGCTCGCGAGAATCAAGAATGGCGAGGTAAATAAAGATGCACAGCAAAGATCATGGCGCGATATGCGAACAGGTAGGCTATTGGTAGGAAAGACGGTACCGCCTCTTCCGAGATTTAAGAGGCTTGAAGCGAGCCTAGGTTGTTGGCAAGTGCCGCACTCAGCAGCTCAGCGGCGGTGAAGGGGGACCCAGGCCTCGGAGATCGTACGGGAAAAAGTCCGGAGCCGCAGAAGGTTGGCTCGCGCTTACATGGCGCCAGCAGACGCGAGTTGAGAGCATGAGATGGGCTATCAAGAAGTACAGCAGCTGCTTGGTGGTGCCGAGTGAGAGACGGATGGGAGTACGGTGTTGACAAGTCCCAGTAAATGACTTCCCCGCGCCACGAGGACAGCGCCGGTCGACATAAGAGCGACCACCACCACTGACTGGCTCCGTCCAGCCGCGCACAGTACTGCTCAGTTCAGTATCTTGGCCTGCTTACACGACCGTCCTTGGCTGGATTCTGCGTCCCTATAATCTCCTGTTTATGAAACCGGCGAAGGACAACATCGTAGTGTGCGTCCCATGCGTTGTCAAACGATATCACCTAGTCTCTAATCGCCCCCGTCCACCTCTTTCAGCATATGTCAAGATGCGAATAGGCATAATGAAACAGAGATTTTTACGTGCTTTTAGCCCCCTAGATCCGGGCGCAAGGTCTCCTCGGTCGGAGGGCTCTTGTGCTGCAACTCCTGAGCGACCCCGCTTTTGACTCGTCCATTCCTCACTGGCTCCCTGCATTTTCACACTCTTCATATTTTTAGCAAGCAATCGCCCCGTCGTTCCGGATAACCCAGGTTGCCTTTGATTATTCGAGCTCACTTCGACAACAAGGCGATCCTGAAATACGAGCGGAACCGCAAGTTTTGTCCTAGAGGTGAAGATCAACGGATCGGGGACGCCATGAGGGATCAAAGAGGTTGCAGAGTATTGGAGTGCATTGCAGTTGGTCTAACACAAGAACGTCAAGGTATTGTCCACCTTGAGTGTATGCAATTATGCGCAGCTTTTCTACTATATCCTGTCATCGGTTCTCATTCTTCAGTGGTATCCTTTTCCTCAGAACCTCGGCGCAATAATTTCCATGCTTACTACTATGTGCTTATCTTTCGTTTCGCACTGGACGGCTCACTCATTGGACGCAGGACGAGAAAAGGAACGTTAACGAGGATGGCAACGAGGGTCGTGGAAATATGCGATAGTGACGTCAGTAGCTCGAGGAAACAGCAATAACATGTGCGAAGACGACTCCGACGTTGGGATGCGCGATGTCGACCCCGAATTTGAGTTGGACGGAGCCGATGCTGATCTAGACAAATGTGCCCATACCCGCCCGTGCCATCTGTGCCAATACCCATTTCCTGCATGTCGACGCATGCACCTACAGTCCTAACGTCTATACCGCTCTCGCCCGCAGCCGCACTGTCTGTGCCCGTATCGCGCCCTTCTTCCCTCCTAGTCTTGAGGCCTTGAGGCCGCCAAGCTCACAGGCATTCCCTAGGCCCCCGTGGCTGTCGCTGTGGAAGAGGTCGAGCCTGTCGTCGCAACTGCAGTGGCCAACCTAGTTACCGACGAGGAGAAGGCTCCCGAGTCTACTACTACCGCCCTCGCCATTATAGAGCTTGTCCACCTTCTGACAGCTATGAATAGCTCATGCGGAGCCCTGAACGACCGCCAAGAGCACGCAAGACCTCGTTGACTCCGTGTATGGCACGCTACCAATACCCACGATCATTTCTGAGTCGTTGGACATCGCCGTTCGTTGGGAGCTATATTAATTTTCGTGCATTTACAGTCCAGGTATGTTCTTCTCTCGCTCTAGCAATCTCGCTCGCTGAATTCTCTAAGGACCCGTCTCTAGACCGACGACAATTCTCCCCACCCCAGCAAGAGCCCACAGCCGCCTCAGTTAACCCCTATTCCTCCTGTCAACTTTTGGCAGATCTCAAGACTCGCATCCCCCGCATTATCCTGCTCGCTTTCGCTTCAACGAACATTTTTCGCTCTTTCCTACGGTTCTCCGGCTGACTCTGTTCCCAATCAGCCTCGCTTCCGAGCACTCCTCCCTAAGCGCATAGCACAGTACCGACTTCGACTTGCTAGATAGCACCTTCGAATACGAGGAGAATATGCATGTCGAGGTTGCCGCCTGCGTATAATCCTGGGAGGGGGGTGACCAGCAAGACGGATGAGCAAGGCCAGCTGCTCACTGCACACGAACTCGCATGGCTCGCGCCCCAGTCGGGTGCGTACTTTATTATCCGGAGCAGAGCTGAGCTACGGCTGTCTTGCAAATTATCCACACCACACTCGCGAGTCACTACTGCCTGCGCACTCGCTGATGGCTGCACACGCGCCACCACCGACCTCACAGTCTTTACTGGCCCCGTACTTCCCTTGCCTCGCTGGCGCTCCGCTTCTATCATCTACGCTGTCTCCCCGACTTGCCCTCGTGCTCTGTCTTCGCTGACTCTCACTGTCTTGTGCTCTCGACTCGCCCTCCTCGGGCTTCTCAGAACAGCTACCTGGTCTGCACTTAGGGCGGCGCTCTCTGGTGTCAACAATTCCCGAGCCTCCGACAGCATCGCACTCAATAACTGGACGCTTTGAACCGCCCGACTCGACCCGCCTTGACACTCGAAAGCTGAAGCCACACGGTCTCTTACGCTTGACTAATACGCGGCCAAGGGCGAGCGCCTTAGATGCCGACCCGAGGTGGGCCCTTTGCTGCAGGGTCTGCATATATGACATATCTGCTATGCAATTAATGTACATGTCCTGTACATGTTTTTGTCCGGAAACATACACGGTGAGCCATCCATGCGTACCGGGTACATTCCAAAGCAATTCCAAAGCAAGGTATACTGTCAAAGCATGGGCCTTCTAATTTGATTAGGCATTTTAATCGCAGCACTACTGTCCGGCAATTTTGGCACAACGATCAGTGTGGCGATGAAGGAGGGGTCGCATCCCAGCCTCCCAGGAGCCAAGGCGAGATAAACCGAGAAACCACCACCGTGTATTTTAGACCCCCACACTATCTGAGACGGCTCATCCATTGTCTCCCGCCCTTTTGATAAGTTCTCACTTCCTCCTGTCCTTCCGATCAGTTCATTCTGGAGCAGGCGCAGTTATCAGCTTGACACCGGTCGTGCTGACTAGAACGCCTCTTCGCCATTCTGGGCTCAGAGTGCGTGAAGAGGTCAGACGGAGCGCTCCTCAGTTTGGAACACAGTCAGCCCCACCAGCGAGCACTCCTAAGACCGTTATGCGTAGCCACATGATAGCGAGACCTTTGTCGAGGCCGAGCTTCAGACCTACCCTCCGCTAAGATTGGAGGCTTTCCCACAGGTTGGAGGTGTGATAGCTCTATGATATTGTGCGCCAGTTTCTATTTGTCGATAAATCGGCTAATGAAAACATTATTTGGCTGTTGTCGCAAGTCCCTTCACCTGATTTTCACCCTGATGTCGGTCCATAAGGTCCATTCGTCTTTACCTGCTCACCATAGTATTTTGTGATGTATATAGCGTTGACATGACCAGAGCGAAGCGTATGGCGTCAGGTAACACACCTCTGTACGATCCCGACTTTTGCGCATCCCAGCTGAATCGTCGTCCGTGCCAGCGCTAGCGCCTCCTTCAAGCTTGGGCACTGGGTTTGATATGCGGGACGTGCCCCGGAAGCCATCTGCCGCTGGCGGGGAAGACATAGGTAACTCCGTGTGGCAGTCCCACACAAGGGGGGCTACAATCCAACTTAAGGCCTACTCTCCGTGCCTACGCTCTCTGTTCTCACCCACTCGCCCGTACTCAGGTACTCGACACAGTACACTCAGTGCAACCTGCGAAGTAGGTCTGTCCATTCGTCCTGATGCGGCCAGCGCATTTCTTCGTACATTCGTGGAACGTCTGCTGACGGCTCGATAGGACTCGAATTGACATAATCTCGTTTTGCTGCTAACAAAGATATAAAATCTCATTTGCAAGTCTATTTTAATTTCTTTCGAGGCTGCTTCTCATGTCCTCGATTAATACCCGAAAACTCAGATTCGAAGTCTGGTGTGCTATTGGTTGAAGATCTGTCTAGTACGTTGACCTACAGCAACTAATGGCTACATCCGCGGGCTTACTGTTTCTTCACTTAGAGCTGGCTCGGATTGCAAGCTCCGAAATATCTAAGTTGTTGTTCACTAATGCAGTAGCTGACTCCACACGCTGACCAGGTGCGATAGCCTTCCTGTAACAAGTGACTATGTCGCCAGAAAATCTCCAAAGTCTATTCCCTAACAAGGACGATAACTCGACTATCACCATGGCACACGAAATTCTTTCTAGTGTAATTCCTACCGACAGTGGCCGGATGACGTATCTGACTACGCTCTCATCTGCCCTGTTCGCACGCTCGTTTCATACGCATGACCCGAAAGACC